TCTTTCCCCCGATTTTGTCTGGATTCGAACTCGCGTCTGCCATTTCCAAGTCTGAGTTCTTTCAGAGTTCTGAGGGAGGAGTCGCTGAGATGGAGGAGAACAAGAAAAGGAAAAAGTTGACAAAATGATGAAAAAGGTGAAGGAAAAGAAGAAGAAGCTACTGACTTGGTTAGTGATTCCCTCTCCCTCTCTTCAGTTGTGGGCTTGGAGTCGAGTCCTCACTTTTCTTCCTCTTAAAAAAAAGGAGAAGAAGAAGAAGTAAAAAGAAAAGTTGAAGACGGAAAAAAAAAGATATCATGGTGTAGGATAGGGGTCAGTGCAGAACGCCTGCCATCAGAACCACATGCGACAGTTTCCCGTCATGCAGCTCGCCCCCCGAAACCTTAGCCTTGTTTGTGGGCTCGGGAAGGGAAGCTGACAAACAGCTTTGCTTCGCACCTTCCAACTCTCTTGTTATAGATGGGCTACTGTATGGAACCGGGAAGATAGCCTGTATACATTGATTGCTTTCGGGGAAGGGCCTCACTCAGCTGCACAATAATCTAAATGTATCTGGACATGAAAATGCTTCCCATAAATTTAAAATGTTGGATCACAGCCACGGCTTACACGGGAACAAGCTTCCCTCTCTCTTGTCAAGAGCAGAGCGTGGTCGAACCATGTTCGCTGGCAGAGCGCAGTGGGATCACGTTCGCTTGGCAGCGTAGTGGGATAATGTTCTTGGCAGTGGCAGCTCAAGTGGAGCACGCTGCCCTCTCAGTTCTTCGAGACCACAGAGCCTGTCTTGTCCACCGTGGGAGGAGGGGGGAGAGAGAGAGAGAGAGAGAGAGAGAGAGAGCACATCTGCAATGTAAAGGCTTACCTACGAAATATGTGCCCTTATATTCGGAAAATATGGATTAACTTTCAAATTTCGTGTTTTGGGGAGAACTCAAATATACAACGCATGTGTTATGTTCGAGGGAAGACGGTAGTCCCAGATGCAAGTTAGGCGCTTAGGGCGGTATCTCAAACCTCCGTATGTAACCGGCCCTTCCTAGGATCACGCACATAAAAAGTAAACTACTTTGCTTTTGTTTGCTTTCCTTCTGGGGAGCCGTCTTCACCCGAAAGTAACGCTCCGGCGTTGTATTCGGTAAATTGGTCGCAACTTCGGATGGGGCCCAAAATTCCGAAGAAAAAAAGTTCAAAAAATTCTGTAAAAAAAATATGTTATCCAGAATTGCAAAGCGACCAACTTTTCTCTGAGGGTCACTTCAGAATTCCTTATAAACTCCGAAATGGAAATTAGAAACGAAAAATCAAACTGATACATTCCCCTTCGAAGTCAAAAACCCTTTCAACCCCCTTTAAACCCATGTATACCCCCCTTTCAACCCCCTTTAAACCCATGTATACCCCCCTTCCCGCCCTTTAAAACCCATGTATACCACCTCTACAAGGCACTCTGCCCAAAGAACATTCAAATATATAACGCCTGTGAGTTCTATCTGAATATAACGCCCGAGCGTTGTATTCGAAGGTACATTGTATTTGGAAAAAAGCAAGTAAGAACGAAAATCTCATCATTAACACCCGGGGGTTATTTTCGGGAGAAGACAGTAGTCGGCTCCCCTCCCATTCCAGATCTTTCCATTTGGTTTGAGAGGGCACCGAATCCAGGATTTCCCTCGTGCCCTTGAAGATCAAGGGCCTAAAGTAATTCCGGCTCCCAAGGACTTCTCGTTTTGATGTTTTCTTAGAGTTTTGTTTAATATACTGTGTCTAGGCTGAATTCAGTCTGGATACAACATTTTGGACGCAATGGCCTCTCCTAGGTACTTGGACTAGTTCACAGGTCAGATACATGCAATGTATCCAATCATTGGAGAGATAAGGCCCTCATCGGTCCATATGACCTTATTTCTTCACCCCGAATTTCAACCCCTAATCCGGGTAGGAACAGGGGCTGGCAGACTCGGGCTGACTTTTGCCAGGTCTAGACCCCAATCCAATCCCATTTATTTCGGGAGCGGACCTGGCAGAATGGTACCAGTGAATGAGAAATTATCAGTTTGAGGTTTGAGCAAGATGGATTGTGAAGTCGGGAGAACTTTCAGAAACCTTTTCCAAGCCATTTCAGAAACCAACCTACTAAAACGCATCCACCAGGTGTTCAGAAAGCAACGAAATAAGCAAGTACTCACAATCAGAGCGTGCTTGAAACCGCAATCTTCTAGAAGTTTGAGATTATAGTATACAAGAGCATGATTGCCGACAGGGAGCAGACACTTGGGCACCTCCTGTAAGCATGAAAACAATAGAAGAAGCCAAGCGCATCACACATCAGCTCTCAAGCGCCTCTCTCTCTCTCTCTGAACTCTCTCTCTCTCTCTCTCTCTCTCTGAACTCTCTCATTGAACTCTTTCCAAACTCGACCAGAACATCGAAAGCGAGATACCTGACGCTTCCCATGACGAACAAAGATCCAACACCTCTCATCACTGGCAGCATTCTCGCCTTGAGCAAGTCATACCTACCAACTCCAATTTTAACAAAGTAAAAAGCACCTCTTTTTTTCCCCCACGAGAAAAGCCTTCTTTAATGTGTCTTTTTGTTTTCTTTCTTGGCAATCCCCATCTATTGCGAAAGAAAAATATTGACCAGCAGACAAAAGCTTTCCTCTCCTTTCCCTCCCCCCCCCCCCCCCCCCCCCCCCCCCCCCACAAAAACCACCCCCTCTCCACCCCCATCATTATACCTGTGATGTGAGAGGATAAAGATTCTTGGATAAACCACCCGCAAAGATCACTGCTTGAAAATCCATCGGCGACCAGCCATGGCCCAGGGAGAACTCTTCGGCCGATGCATCTGCCGCATTGCTATCTCTGTGCGCCCCCTGCATTGGACCCATCAGCTGATTGATCCACGGGCTATATGTGACGCGGCTGCCGCTGCGGCTGAGCACAATGCTAGCTTGCCCCCCCTGATAACTGGAGGAGGAGGGGGAGCAGTGCACCTGACTGACCTGCATGAGTCAAAAAAAACAACAAATCAAATCTGAGGGCACACTCACACTGGGGTACCAAATCCGCATAATCCCCTAAATCCCCAAAAAAATAGTGTCGAGGGATAGTCACACCAGGATCTCATTTCCCCAAACTACTTATTCGTGACCCCGTTTGCCAACGGCCTGAGGGGCCGCGGGGGTCGGGAATTGGGAATTTGCGCTAACCTCCTCGGGAGGTTACCGCAAATTCCCTTTGTTGTTTGGAATCAACCTGCGGGGAAATAGAAAGAAATTCGAAGACGAAGATATTGCCAGGAAATGCGATCTCGCAGTGTGACAGGAGCAGTCCAAGGGAACCCAAAATCCAGGCGGCCATAACCTTGGGTGAGGTCCCACTAGCAAAGAGGATTGGATTGAACGCCTGAATCTGGCCGCGTTTGTGGACAAGTGCGGAAAATCGAGATTGAACTCCTTTTCTGCATCTCTGCCTAAAACACGCCCAGATTCAGGATCTCAATCCAATCCCCGTTGCTAGTGGGACCATGCTCCTTGTCTGTTGCGAAATGGGGACAGACACTATTTTCCCAAATCGGGCATACCATTTTTTTAAGAAAATACGATTTGGGTACGCAGTGTGAGCGTGCCCTGAGGGTATGTCAGTAGAGGGTATGGAATGTGCATCCTAGATCAAATTCCATTTACATTAAGTAATAATGTACCACTAGATGACCCGTTGGGGCTTCGCCCGCAAAAACAGAAAAGGAAAAAGCACAAAAGAACGAAAAAGCATAAGGAACTGCCCTATCATATGCCGCTTCTTTCACAGTAAGAAAAAGAAGAGCCTGAGAGCAGACAGAAACCCACGTGCAAGAAAATAGGAGGGAATATGAACGGAACCTTCTTTTTTCTTTATCTTTGAGTGTTTTGTTTGGGGAGCCGTTACCTTTGCAGCATCGTTTTTGTTTTGTGCTGTGCGAGAACTCTGCACTTTTCTGAGAAAATCCTGTCCGTTGTCCCGTTGATTTTTTTGCTAAAGATTCAGATTCAGGCTTTGTTTTGTTGTGTTCTCTGGATATGTTTGTGATCAACCGATCTTGTGGAGCCGTGCTTACTTGTGGAGCTTTGACGATATGTGTGCAAGTGCATGCACGTGTAGTGAGTCTCAGTTTGGTGGGATCGGGTCATGTCATTGATGATTGGCCCGGGGACGTTGTTGGAAGTCGCCTCCAACTGTAGGAGTCCCACTGATGTTAAGCAGGTTATGAATTGTATGAATGAAACAATCAGCATTCAATATGCTTGGCAGTTGCTCTTCGGGTGGGGGACTTGTTGGGAGTAGCATTGATATGAGAGCCATAATGATGGGCGTGCATCTTGGAACATTACCTGGAAGGCAAAAGGCAAAGAAGAAACGAAGTGGCACGTGTCAGAGTCACATAATGGACAGCTTGGCACAGTCCCCCCCCTTCTCTCTCTCTCTCTCTCTCTCTCTCTCTCTCTCTCTCTCTCTCTCTCTTCCCCCCTTGACTTCGAGCTTGGAACCCTTC